GTCGTGATGTTGTTCACAACGCGAGGGGGTCTGGAGAGCATGTTCCGTGGACGGTTCCCGAGGCCCGGTAAGGGCCCCTGCAGAGGCCGAAACTGGCGAAAGACCTCCCGTCGTGATTTTCTTCACAGCGCGAGGGGGTCTGGGGAGCATACGCTCTGTGGACGGTGCCCGCGCCTGGCGCGCTCCGCGCGCCGGGGGAGGGGTGCCGTCGGATCCGCCCTACTTTCTGGGGAAATTCAGGAGGAGGAGCAGGAGGAGGAGGAGGAGGAGGAGGAGGAGGAGGAGGAGGAGGAGGAGGTAAGTAGGGCTCGGAATTTCCGCCTTACTTTTCAAGCCCCGCTGCTGCCAATCTCCGCCCTGCTTTTCTGTTGCTGCTTCCGCCCTATACTTCTGTGGATTTCTCCGCCCTGCTTTCTGTGTTGGGTGCAGAAATTGTTTCCGCCCTGCGTGTTCGGCTTCTTCTTACATAGGTGGATTTCCGACGCAGTTTTAGGTGATTCGGAAAAAAGCCAAAGTCGGGCGGATCTGGAGTCAGGGTGGGGGGACGCGGGCCCCGCGGTGTCCTCGCCTGCGTTTTCGGCTTCTTACATAGGTGGATTTCCGACGCAGTTTTAGGTGATTCGGAAAAAAGCCAAAGTCGGGCGGATCTGGAGTCAGGGTGGGGGGACGCGGGCCCCGCGGTGTCCTCGCCGCCCTCCGCGGGCCCCTCCCACGGGCCCCTCCGCGGGCCCAGGGGGGCTGTGAGAGCAGGGAGGGGGGAGCACAAAAGAAAAAGCACACACAGAGGCACAAGGAAGCGTCGATCCCCAGGAGCACATGCGGGAAACTAAATGGGAAGTGGGGGGGGGGGGGAGACGAAGCGCCAGAAGATGTGGAAGAAAACTATTAGGGGGAGTCCTGGGACTCGTGTGTCTTTGTTGGTGCGCCCCTGGGCGCCCCTCCGAGAGAACGACCCGGGAGGAAGCTCCCGTCCTGGGGGACCCAGACCCCCGACGTCATGATTTTTTCATGACGCGCCCCCCAGAGGTCCCGACCCATGCTCCGGGACCGGTTTTTCGTCCTGAGTTGTTTTTGACGGTCCCGAGGCCCGGCGAGGGCCCCCGGAGGCCGAAAATGGCGAAAAACCTCCCGTCGTGATTTTTTCACGACGCGAGGAGGTCTGGGGACAGCCCCCCTCTGGACCCGCTCCCTCAGGACAGCCCCCCCCCGGTCCGGGGCCCGCCTCCCTCAGGACCCGCTCTCCCCCGAGCCAGGGCTGCGGGCCCGTGGGGGCCGGCGCTGGCCCGGGAGATCTGCGCGGACCTCCGGAACCTCGTGTGCCTCCCAGAGATCCAGACCTCCTCGCGTCGTGAAAAAATCACGACGGAAGTTTTTCGCTAGTTTCGGCCTCCGGGGGCCCTCGCCGGGCCTCGGGGCCGTCAAAAAACGACTCAGGACGAAAAACCGGTCCCGGGGAATGGGTCGGGACCTCTGGGGGTCGCGTCATGAAAAAATCATGACGTCGGGGGTCTGGGGATCCCGCGTATTGAACAAATCAAGACGCAGGTTTTTCGTAATTTTTGACCTCTAGAGGCCCTCGCAGGGCCCCGGGGCCGTCAAAGAACGACTCAGGATGAGAAACCGGTCCTGGGGGATGGGTCGAGGCCTCTGGGGACCCCGCATTGAAAAAGTCACGACGTCGGATCTCTGGGTTGCGCCCCCCCCTGGCAGCGTGGCACAGGTCACGGCGGACAGTTCTCTGCTCCGCCTGGCCTCTGGGGGCCCTCACCAGGCCCCTAGACCCCCGACGTCATGATTTTTTCATGACGCGCCCCCCAGAGGTCCCGACCCATTCCCTGGGACCAGTTTTTCGTCCTGAGTCGTTTTTTTACGGTCCCAGGGCCCGGCGACGGCCCCTAGAGGTGGAAAATTACGAAAAACCTGCGTCTTGATTTTTTCCCATACGTTGGATCTCTGGGAGCGTAGCACAGGTCACGGCGGACAGTTCTCTGCTCCGCCCGGCCTCTGGGGGTTCTCGCCAGGCCTCGGGGCCGTCTCGACACGACGCAGGACGAGAAGCCGGCCTCCTGGGGGCCGACGCCGCGGTACAGTCATGGCGTCGGGGGTCTGCCCTATGGAGGCAGGAGGCTCCCGTCCCAGACCCCCCGACGTCGTGAATGTTTCGTCATGACCCCCAGAGGTCTCGACCCCTCCCTGACTCCGGATCCGCCCTACTTGGGGGAAATTCGCAGGTAGGGCTTGGAATTTCCGCCCTACTTTTCAGGCCCCGCTGATGCCAGTTTCCGCCCTACTTTTCTGTTGCTGTTTCCGCCCTGCTTCTGTGGATTTCCGCCCCACTTTATGTTGGGTGCAGCGATTTCCGCCCTACTTTTTCGGCCTCTTATAGGTGGATTCCCGACGCAATTTTCACTTTGAAAAAAGCCAAAGTAGGGCGGATCTGGAGTCGGGGCTTCCCCAGGACCGGTTTCTCATCCTGAGTCGTTTCTTGACGGTCCCGGGG